AACTTCCTGGTGCAAATGCTGGAGCGGCCAAGTAGGGGCCGTGCTCTTCTGGACCTGCTGCTCTCAAACAGGGAAGAATTGGTGGGGAACATACTAGTAGATAGCGACTTGGGCAGCAGCAACCACGAGATGCTTGAGTTCAGGATCCTGAAGAAGGGAAGGAAGGAGAGCAGCAGAGTACGGACCCTGGACTTCAGTAAAGCAGACTTTGACTCACTCAGGGAACTCATGGGCAGGATCCCCTGGCAAGCCAGACTAAGTGGGAGAGGAGTCCAGGAGAGCTGCCTGTACTTTAAAGAAGCCTAACTGGACTCTCCATCCTTGGAGGTTTTTAAGACCTGGCTAGACGAAGCCTTGGCTGAGAGAATTTCGTTGGGAGTGGTCCTGCTTTAAGCAGGGAGTTGAACTAGATGGCCTCCTGAGGTCCCTTCCAACCCTAATTTTGTGTGTTTCTATGATTTGGTTTGTGGAAGCCAATAATACTCAGAGAAAGCTAAAAAGAAAGTCTTAGATTTCTTGCTGGCCTATGTGCTGGATAGAAAGGCAAGCTTGACTAGTGTCATGACTTAATGAGATGTATGAAAAACCTTTTTTTTTGCAGATTTCTTATTCTTATATTAAGCTAATTGTCTCCTCATTGATGGAGATTAAATAGAAAAAAATCACGTACCACGCATTACTTTAGTTGTCTAAACATACATTAGCAAGATGTAATAATCTCTACTAATAGAAAGGTTTTTTTTACCCCTCATTTTCTCCTTCTTAACAACTCCTTTAGAAATACCCCCTATTTTTTCTGGTTTACCAACTCCATCCTCATTTTATACTCCCCTAGAGTGTGGTATGTCTCCTTAGCCTGTGGAAGTCTTAATATCATCACGTTGAAATACTATCTCTACATAAGCCAGAAGCAATATCACCATCAGGCCCTACTTACACCGAAATCAAAATGCTATTGGTCCCTACAACCCTACAGCTGGGCACCTGGCCAGGCAATCATACAACAGGTGGATACACTTCTTGGGATACTATGCCTTACCACAGAGTACCTCTTGCTCACATACTTTCACCCCTTGAATTATTTAACTTGCATTTTTTATTTATCTGCAGACTGTGCACATGCCTAACTTAGAAAAACATGTTTATAACTCTCAGTGAACCCAGTCAGCACTAACTGGACTTGCGTTCCCACATGCAAGGACCTGCCTAGCAGCTTCCTTGGCCTGTAATAGATTTTATATGAAACCATGTAGGAACTGTGGAAGTGCTTCTCATCTCAGGCACTGTCATCATCTTGTGCTAGCTAGTCATTTTCTTACTTTGTGCTGACAATCGCAATCAACAGCATCAGTAACCAGCAAACAACCTTAAGCATTCCCTAAGCAAATTTAGGGTCAGAAAAGTGACTTTAAATGGGACCATTTCTGTTAGTTCCTTTCCAAATTGCCCATATCCTTGGAGTCATACCTGCTACAATTTAATAGAAATATATTTTATTTCCACTCTAAAACATATTTGTGTAAGAGAGAGGTGGCTTGAACACCAATAAAATGGTTTTAATCTTCTTTTTCTGGACACCACCACCTAACCTTCAGGCACCAATTTCAGGCTGCCATAGTTATCAAAATGTATTATGATACCATAATAATGGTTTCCTTTTCGTTCAGTACATCTCTTCACCTGGAATTCCCAGACAGCTTTAAAAGGAGAGACCATCCAAGGCTCTGTTACCTCTTCACTGTCTGCCAGATGAGGACTTCGACTGATGTTTGTTTTGGACTTTGATTATTGTCTCACACATTTAAGCTAGGTGTGTGCATTGCACTTAGTGCCTTTCACCTCTTAGGGGCCTGACCAATGACTGTCCTATTACAACACTAAAAGCTTTCTTTGTACTTTCTACTTATTTTTCAGCTCTCTAATCTGTATCACTCAGGTAACAGCAGGTCTCACAGGAGCAAATAAATCAAATGCCACTGCAGCATTTCCTTTGTTCTTTAAAAACCAAATTGATTATTTTTTTTCTGAACTGAGGTCTTCCACTTCTCAATCCAAACAGTTTGTTTGAGCTAGTTTTAGAAGATGATATGGTTTGTATGATATGATTGTATGAAAATCAAATTTACTTTTCAAGTTCTGAACATTCTCAAGAACTTCCAAATTTCATCTGCCATTATTTAGGGCAAGTCTTGTGACACATATCTGTTCCTGTGCAGTTAATTCATGTGTTTTTTTCAATATATCTCATTATATGCTTAGGTTTAGCTTCATTTTTTCAAAAGGTTTGTCTGTTCCAAAGCTTTACCTTTGCTGCTTCCACCTAGCAGACACACCTTATGAGACTTATTTGCTCTTTCTTTTTTGTGGTTGTTTATGGTTCTTTCTTATGCCTTTCAAAGCAGGTCAAAGTTATTTCAATTTTTGCTACTCAACTACCTTTGCCTTCTCTGCACCATAACTTTTCTCCACACCCGAGTCTGCAACTATGAGAAATTGCTCTCCATTTTCTCTCAGATAAGACTACAGGAGTGATGTAGTTGTCATTATAAGTTAGGTTTAATCAATGATTGTTTGATTTTTTATCCTTCTTGTAGTCATTCCTTTTCTGCTGTCCCATGACCTATTTAGCTTGAATTTATTCAACTTGGATTCAAGTATTCTACCTTATTCCTATGGTGAGACTCCCATTCAGGTTATTGCTGGCTCAGGTATCAAAGTTGAACTAGGATAACTTAAAAATGAAAATATTTCACTTGTCTGTGGGCTTCAGCCACCTTATTGATACTGCTGAATAAACCTTGCATATCACTGAAGTCCATCTGCCACCTTTTCCAACTTTGAGGCCTCACTTTGGCTCCTGAATTTTACTGCCACCAAGATTTGTTGGGACTCAACTATTACTTAGTCATCTGCCCCCATCTCTTTGATTCTCTTCGTCAGTTGTTTCTGTAGCAGGGCTCTAACACAGTTCAAACCGATTAACAGGTTTCTCTCTGAACCAGGGGGAACCACCTGACTTCCTCTCTATATCTGCTTATGTCTTCTAGTTGGTACAACCTTTACCTTCAAAAAGAGAACCTGACATAGTTAGGGGTTAGGTTCTGTCTCTTTTATTTTTCCCCCACGGCTCTTGCATGTTTGGAGAATATTTCATGTGATCATGAAATAATATTCTCCTCCTATTGAAGGTGAATGAGCCAGCTTCCAAGGCCATCGTTGTGAGAGAAGCATGGTTACCCAGGGCAGTGTTACCCCATTGGAAGTTGGCAGCTCCCTTTCAATGCATTCTTGTTGGTATAGACTAGAGGATAGTTGTCTCTGTTCTGGAATTTCTTCTCCCACTCCTCAGGAAAGAGGCCATAGTTATCTGAGATTTTTTGATGCCCCAAGGAATCCTTTGAATTTTTTATTAAACCTATTCCTATTCATCTCTGCATATAAAGTCCATAAGGCCCAAATTATAATGGTCGTGTGTGGACGAAATGAGGGGCATGTGTGCATGCCAATTTAAAGTGGGCTAAATGCTTTTGTCCCACTTTAATAGTATTGGTGTTTGCACGCGTTGGTGGTGTATTGCGCATTAAATCCAGCCACTGTAGGAAACTCAGCAGCGTAACGTGCCTTTGGGGGCAGCAAACTAAAACTCCTCTGAGGAGTTTTAGTTTGCTGCCCCTAAGGCCGCGAAGTGAAGCACCGGGCTCTGTGCGGCTCCGTGGCTCTGCAGGAAGCCCTGCAGGCAGCCTGGCAGTAGCCTAGGAAGCCAGACTCTGCCCAAGAAAAGCGGCAAGTCTGACCCTGATACCCCCTCCCAGAGCCTGCCTGCCTGTCTGAGCTGGGTGGGGGCCCTGTGCTTCCCTCCGTGGCTGCGGCACCCCGGGACCACGCAAGCCAGGTGCCTGTGGGTGGCTGCCACTGGGGTGGGGGGGCACCGCTGCTGTAGAGGGAAGCACCAGCCCCTGCCCTTCAACCCAGGGACAGCTCCGCCCACCGGCAGCTCATCCTCCCCTCCCCACCACAGAGGCAGGTAAGTCAGGTGTGTGCATGACATGGGGGTTTAATCAGCCCTAAATTGAAGTGGTGTTATTAAAAACCCACCACTTCAATTTGGGGCCCCCATTTCATCTACACATGAAAGGCTCTTTCCTCCTTCTTAAACTAAACTAGTAGTGGTTTAGTTCCAAAAATAATATATCTTCTCTTATTAAAAAAAACAAACAAAAAAAAAGACTGATTGTTTGAATGCAAAGTGAAAAAATATTCTGTGTACTCTGTAGTATCCATTAAAGGAATCAAATGACTCCAACTAAAATATTCTACAACATCCTCTCCAGGCTATCACTCCATATCCAGGCATATCCATTTATTGAGGGTTTCCCTTTGACTTGATGACGGTTTGCTTTGAAAGTGTAATGCATAGCTTTTCTTGTAGCAGCCAGCACTTATAGTTATAAGTCCTTACTGGACAAACAAAAGTAAAAAATGTTTTATAAGCAAAGAAGTGCTTCTTAAGCAACTAAATAATAGAGTAATGAGAAGTCCTTGTGAAAACTGCCTTTCAAATGAAGAAGGGGAAGAACCTTTGAACTGTGCCAACACCCACAGCACAGAATATTAAAGCTCTACTGAGGAGGCACACTTCCACACTTGTGTAACTGGGGTTTTCCAACTAAACTGAAATCTTTAACTTTTCTCACTAATCTTCTATCACTATGACTTCTAACTGCTGCACTCCAGACCCCTGTTGTGGCTCTTTTACAGATTCTTGTAAGGCTCCAAGCAACTCTTACACCAAGAGCATCTCAGATTGTTCTTCTGACATAAAAAGCTGCCTGCCAACTAGCTTCTCAACTAGTAGCAAAGTGTCTGTTAGCAGTAGACCAGGGAGCTCCCTTGTTAATAGCTACCAACCAACTCCCTGCCTGCCCAGAAAATTGGTCAGACCTATGGGCTGCTATTCAGCTGGCTCTTATTGTGGCTACAATGAATCAATCTTCAATAGCAATGAGAAGGAGACCATGCAATTCTTGAATGACCGTCTGGCCTGCTACCTGGAGAAAGTGAGATTCCTGGAGCAGGAGAATGCTGACTTGGAATATAAGATCCGAGAGTGGTATGAATGTCAAACCCCGTATGTATATACTGATTTCAACTGTTACTATAAGATGATTGAGGAGCTCCAGCAACAGGTAATGGCCCAACAGAGAATTTTATAATCTATGCAAACAGCGGGTTGTTCTCAAGGCTGTAGGAATTCTGAAATCATTTCTTCCCTTTCTCAGAGGGCAAAAAGTGTGGATGATAAATTGTGATAGTGTGGAATCATGTTCTTAGCTTTCAGTAAGGATCTTTATTTCAGAGCTACCCTTAATCTTTTCTTTATATAAATCTATCACTTGTTTTGCTATTTATTACTATGGATTCTGATAGCAGCAGGAAAATGGAATTCAGGATCAAAGAATAACACTTTTTAATAATTGTGCTATGTATGTGCTTATGAGCATCCCTTCTTTAATGACCCTCTCTTTTCATTATATCTCAGAAGTGGGACATAGATAGGAAATATTACTTTTCTGTTCAGTTCTTCTTTGCTAGATGTTGTTCTGCATTCCATTGGTTTGTATTGATGAGTTATCAAGGCTCATCAACATGTACAGTTTTAGGCTAGGTACAGAGATTCAAAAAACCCAAAGTGGAATCGATGTAAGTTATATGGTTTTCTGTAAGTGGTGTAGTTTAGATTAATAGTTATAGTTAATAGTAAACAGAACATACAATTAATGTTCTGTTAACAGTTAACAGTTAATAGCAAACAGAACATACATTCACTCTTTGGTGTTGGGGGGCAAATCTTAAACTGGGTTTCACCATTTTTAAACAAGTCTATATGTGCCAAATTTCTGTCCTATCGCTGGCATAGACCAGCTTTCTGTGCCAAACTTCTGTTGTGTTATGGGTATAGACTGGTTTCTGATCACTAATACTGGTAAAAATGTAATGTCTGTACCTGGCCTTAAAGTGCATGGACCACAAGAGGTAAGGAGATTTAAATCCACTTGAAAGGTATGCATATTTTATTTTAGATCCATTGCTACTTTGTCAGGGAGCTAATCACCTAAAACATCAGGATGGAGGGAGTCAAATGATTCATCCCTTGCATCAGTCTTAGTGACTGCAGGCTTAGACTTTGTAGTACTTTGTGTTATACACCTCGCAATTATTGCACTCACAAATCAGAGTATGGTAAAAATGCTAGATCTCTGCCTCCTGTAGAAATACAAGTATTGAAAAATTCCCTTTAATTTATTTCAAGTGGATATTTTAAAATGTTTTATTGTTTACAGGAAACCTCTTATTTTCCAGATCTGCTGTGCTAAAGCTGATAATGCCAGGCTTTGTCTGGATGTTGACAATCTCAAAGTGGCTTCTGATGACTATGCTACCAAGTAAGTCTGGTACCAATTGGACTGTGAATCATTAGTTGACCCTCTAGGTCTCAGTTCAGGTTCCAGTTACCTTTTGTATATTAGGGAATTTTAAAATGATTGCATACTACAAGGTATATGAGACCGTTACTCTATTTGGGAGAAAAATCACTTACTTACGGACAAATTTTTATGTTTTCCACACAATTTTGGTGCTAACTCACTTGCATCTTTCTATATAAGAAATAAAAAAAAGAAATTAAGGCTACAAAAAGAGTTGGTTCTTTTATTACAAGAGGCAAGAATTTCTTAGGGTAATATCTTTTATTGGATCAACTGCATAGTTTGGACAGAGTTAGAGAAGCTTTCGAATGCAAGGCATTCATCAGGTCTGAGCAGTAAAAGCCAGCACAGCATAGTCAAAAACCAGAGGGGGGAGAGAATTATAAGAATTAATCTCATCATTTAATTCACTGTTTCTATTGTTCATGTTTGGTCATTGTCACATGTTGTGGTCCCATCTTTGGACCTTAGCAAATTATAAAACGTTATAGCATTTTCACCTAACAAGCTTTACTTCTGGTCCACTAAATAGAAAAGACTATATCAAGAAGTCTTACAAAGTGACTCTATTTTAGAAGGTAACACCATCTGCCATCATCTTTGCAAATAAAAAAAAAGGAAGAGGCAATCTTGTATTCCTCCAAATGAACAGCAAAATATCCAGTCTATAATCTGAACAGCGAGGAATCATTTTTTATCAAGAGCTAGACTACCTCAAAAACAAGAGTTGTCAATGTACAGAAAGAGTCAAGACATTTACAAATAATTCAAAAAGGACCAGTACAAATAAACTAAGAAGTAAACTTGAAAGAAAATTGTGCCTGTTCAGGCTTTGTTTTAAGGATTATTAGTTATTACTATGTTCTTGTCATTTAAAGGTATGAATACGAACATGGGCTTTGCCAGAGCGCTGAGGCAGACGTCAAAAGTCTGCGTAGAATTCTGGATGACCTGACCCTATGCAAGGCTGACCTGGAGACAGAGCTTGAGTCCCTAACAGAGGAGCTCCTCTGCCTCAGGAAGAACCATGAGGAAGTAAGATAGTAAGCCAAAACAGTTAGAATTTAAATGGTACAAAAGACCATTAAAATGCATGTATGCTGTGAAATCTGGCATGCATTTATTGGATGCAGAAGAACTAAAGGAACATTATAGTTGCAGAGGGATTTACAGAAAAAGATAATTGATTATTATCAGCCATTACAGCCATTATTCTTCTCCACAATGATGCATTTCCCTTTTTTGTTAGTACTCATTTCAGTAACAAATCCTCCTCTCTCTTTTGAGGAATCTCCCATATAAAAAAATCACTATTATCTGTCTAAATTCATATTGCCTTATTTTGACACAGCCCCAGATAGTCTTGTCATTTTGACAGTTTCTTTATAACCTAATGAGATCCACACTCAGTGTCTGCACTCAAAAGGAAATAGAAGATAATGTGCAATTTTCAAATACAGCCCATCAGGTCTCTGTATTATGGTAATTGTTTATTGCTGCTTACTTCAGAACATACTCATAGTAAAAGCCAAAAGGAACCATTTTCTTCCCCACCTCCAATTAACTTTTCCTGAACAGTGGAGAAATATTTTTTAAGTTACTCTTTTTCAGACTTGAGTAATGGAAAATAGATCTTGGAGAAGGATATACAGATAATTACCAGATCGGCTTCTATTTCTGTGTTAGGTTATAGCTGGGCTTGGTTAATCTCTGCTCAAGATATGAGAGCAAAGAGAGTCCCCTAAGAGGCTCAGGAAAAATTCCAGACAGTGCTATTCAGTGAGCAGTGAAAAAAACAGATCCCTTCTAAATATTTACTCTCTTGTTCTTCCTTCTCCATAGGAAGCTAGTCCACTTCGACGTCAGCTTGGTGACCGTATCAATGTAGAGTTGGATGCAGCTCCATCATGTGACCTGAACAAGGTCCTGGAGGAGATAAGATACCAGTACGAGACCTTAGTTGACAAGAACCAATGTGAAGTTGAGGACTGGTACCACACACAGGTGGGCATCTCATAGTAGACAAATCACCAAGAAATTCCAAGCTCAAAAGATACCCATCTACCTTTTAAAGTGGAGTTACAATTTCTGACTTCCCCCTTTCATCTGGCATGTATTTCAGATGGAGGAACTGAATAAGGAGGTGATCTCCAGTGGAGAACAGCTGCAGGGCTACCAAAATGAGATCATTCAGCTAAAACACACTGTTCAGGCTCTGGAGATCGACCTGCAGACCCAGCACAACCTGGTGTGTATTACTGTGAGCACTCTCAATGCCTTTGACATCCCTGAAAATGAGCACAGACCCATGTCTGACCTACAGCTGTAGTTGAAGTCCTAAGTCAGTGCTACTGCCTGTCCATTTATCTGTGTATCAGGATTCTCTTGTACTGAAACAGCAACCAGATTTCAGACATGTTTATGACAACTGCCTTTGTAGCACAGTAAAAAAAGACCCTGACCAGCCTCCTCTGGTGGCATGGATTTGAAATCAGGCACATAACACATGGACCTACCTGAACCTAGTCAATTAGGGCAATGACTCAACCAGAGTGCCACTAAGAGCTGCAATTTTCCAACAGGGTTCTTAAATCGATGCCAGGGTGCCTTGAGTCTAAAAATATTGAGAACCTCTGCCTTGGGGGATGATTATTTTAATCTCATATTGTCCCTTAGTTTGAAGGTGAACATCCCAGAAAATTGCTGCAACTTTGTAACATAAAGTTAAAAATCAGTGACAGGTCATCCAGGATTTTCTAATACACAAAATCAGACAGTGATACCTGAATAGGACTCCCTGCTGCATCTACATAAGACACTTTACTGCACATTAGACTGAGTTAATGCACATTAAAGCATCACCGTCTATACATGCACGGCTATTACTGCACATTAAATTAGTCTAATGCATCATTTGCTAGCACTAGCACATACAGGTACTAGAAAAATGGTGCATTAACTAATGTGCAGTAGCATATGTGTAGACACTGACTGGAAGCAAATTGCTTCTGGTCAGTCCAGGCAGCAGGGGACCACAATGGCTGCCTGGCTTAAACCCCCAAGGTCCAGGGGGCAGGGGATAGCTGTCCTGGCTCCAGGACCTGCTCCCTGCCAGATGCAGGAAGATTGCGGCTGGCTCCAAGCCCCAGGGCATGGAGGGAGCAGTCCTGGCTCCAGGGGCATTTCCCTCCTAGCTGCGGGGAGATGAGGATTGCAACCTTGCTCGATGGCGCTGGCAGAAAATTCAGGCGCATTACTTGCATGTGTAGACATACCCACTGAGTCTGTCTGACCCACTTTTTTCCCTCTCAGAACACTGCTCTGGAAAACACTTTGGCAGAAACAGAAACGCACTACAGCCAGCAGTTATCAGAGCTCCAGTGTCTAGTCAGCGATGTGGAAGTACAGTTGGCTGAACTTCGATCTGACATAGAGCACCAAGATGGCGAGTACAAGGTCCTTTTGGATGCTAAGTGCCAGCTGGATTGTGAGATCAGCGTGTACCACAGCCTGCTGGATGTAGAGGACTGCAGGTACATATAGTGCAAGCAACTGTTGGTCAAACTATGTACATAAACATTAGGGGTGTGCAAAGAGGGCTGTATTTGGTTTGGATTCAGCCCAATTCAGGGGACAATGATTTGATTTACTGATTCAGATGACTGTCCCGATTCAATTTGGCCGAATCTGAATATTTGATGCTGATTTGGAAAATGATTTGGCCACGGGGGGATCCTGGGTGCCACTCCAGACCCAGGAGGCACCGGGGGGGGGGGGGTTG